AGGGAGGTGAGCGGTGGGAGAGCGGGTCGGTCCGGGTGAGGAGGGAGATCAGGCTTGGAGATGAAAAACCAGGTTATTGCAGGAAAGGTTCGTGGTGAGAATTCCTGATGAAGGGAAGGCAGAGGTCATCAAAAAACAACAATGACGGACAAATATAAGGCAAGACTAAAGCTGTAGTTTTCTATAGTGGCAAGAGCTACCCAAGGTGAGTAATCTTCCGGCAAGGTGAAGTGATCTCCAGCTCCTTATAACCACATGAAGTAGATGAGGGAAATCATCGCAGCTGGCCGCTCTCCGGAGCCGCCCACCTGCAATGACTTAAGGTGATTAGAGGAATGTGCAGACTCACCCCAGATCCTGACAATATGTTCACTTTTACAGAGCATTGCTGTAAAGTCTCAATGCAACCTGCTGGGTTCCTCATATAGGAAACCTTTTACTGACCTGACCTGTATTGGAATGTTTACTGTGTGAAGGTCCAGCAGACGACTCTTGCTGTGACTTGGTGCTTTAGAAATGAATTGAATTGAACTGAATAGGATGACTTTCCAGGCTACAGAAATAGTTTCCTATCTTATCCAACAAGACAACAAGTGCCTATAAGATAGAAATGTTTCTTTTTATTATTATTCTTATTTTCTTTTATTTTACAAATTTTAAAGGTTTCTGTCATTTTTTTTTCTTATTCTGTTTATTATTCAACATTTTTTTGTTCGAAATAAAGTTCAGTTGATAAGCTTTGGTTGGAACGCTCAGTCTTGATTAAGGGGTACTGAGCAAATCATGTGGAGAAAGAACTTTTTCCGTTGGTGGTCCTAAACTATGGAATGAACTCCCAGTCACAGTTCGACAGGCATCCTCCTTAGAGGTTTTTAAGTTTAGATTAAAGACATACTATTTTACCCTTGCATTTAACAGTTAGCTGCTGGATGGGCTTTATTACTTTACTTTATTGGTTTTACTGGTAACTCTTATTTTATTTTTGGCTTGTGTTATTGTATTCTTGGTTGCATTTTATTGTTTCATGTGTTATATTTTTATTATTGTGTAACTGTTCAGCACTTTGGTCAGCCGTATGGCTGTGTTTTTTAAAGCGCTATACAAATAAAGATGATGGTGATGATGATGAAAGGTTTATTATTTTCCATAAAAATATGCTTTTCTTGGAAAATTTGGTTATTTGATGACCCTCCAATTTTTTTTCTTTCCTCTTTTCAAGGTTGTCTAAATGAAGTTTGTTTTTACATAAAGTAAGTATTTGTTCTTGGGGGGGGGGGGGGGGGGGGGGGGCAGTTCCCAAAATTGACCACAAGATGTCCTTCTTACTTCATTTTTACATAATGCACCTTTAATAGTCATTATATGCGAACGTCTGGTTGCTGATTGGTGAAAAGCAATGTGCCTCTTTCGCTGCCTTCATAGTGGAGTTGCGAAAGCTTAGCTTCTACTAGCCAAGGCGTGCTATCTGCTCCTCCTGGGATGTGTCCAAATTCAGGCCTAATAATGTTCTCTTTGAGCAGTTTCAGTCTGGCTTCTGCCCCCACCACGGCACAGAAGCAGCCCTCATAAAAATCACCAACAACCTTCTCATTGCTGCTGATTCTGGTTTAATTTCCATCCTCGTTCTCCTGGATCTGAGCGTGGCCTTTGCCACTAATTCTCCCCCTGTCCTCCTCAAGACTTTTCTCTTTAGGTATCACTCGTACTCCTCTCCACTGGTTTCACTCCTATTTCACTGGCCGCACTCAGTTCATCTAGTTAAAATCTTTCACTTCATAGCCCTCCCCAAGTGTACCCCAGGGCTCTGTCCTGGGTCCCTTCCTCTTCATAACTTATCGACTCCCTCTTGGTATTATCTTCCGCAAATTTGGCATTGAGTTTCACTGTTTTGCGGACGAGACCCTACATCTCCAGTTAACCAGACTCCACTCTCCTGCCCTCCTCTCTTACTCACCACCTCTCAGAAATCCAATCTTGGTTCACCTCAAACTTTCTCAAACTTAATGGCAATAAAACGGAGATTCTTCTTGTTGGCACCAAATCCTCTCCAAAACTGGTAGCGCTACAGCCGCCCCCTCTCCTCGGGTTGAGCGTCTGGGTGTTGTGCTTGACAGTTCACTTTCTTCTCACATCAATAACATTACTCCGCAGAGGTGAGACCAAGTCACTAGTTTGCAAGTCACAAGTAAGTCACAAGTCTCTCCAGTCAAGTCTTGAGTCAAGTCCAAGTCAAAGACGTCCAAGTTGAGTCCAAAGTCAATGATGTGGAAGTCCAAGTCAAGTCCAAGTCCTTAACTTTTAATTTTCAAGTCATAATCAAGTCATCTGTCCAACTTCAATTTAATGACAATGATAATAAAAAATTCCAGAAATAAAGTTTCTTTAAGCTTCATTAATTCACTCAAACAGCAGAAAGTGCTGCTGCGTTCAGCAGAACAACATCACCAGCACCAAGAATGAATCAGGATTTTTGTCCATGTCGCGCCACTTTTGTGTTAAAATATAAAATACGCTCAAGTCATCATCAAGTCAACAGATGCAAGTCAATTCAAGTCGCAAGTCATTGGCGTTCATGTCCGAGTCGTCGTGAGTCTTTCAAGATTTTATCAAGTCAAGTCAGAAGTCATTAAAATAATGACTCAAATCTGACTTGAGTCCAAGTCATGTGACTCGAGTCCACACCTCTGTTACTCGGTCAGCCTACATTCATCTTGGATCCATTACTTGTCATCGCCCCTCCCTTACCCCTCACGCTGCTGCCACCAGAACCCTTCCTTTCAGCCGCTCTGCTCCCCGTCTTTGGAACTGGCTCCCCCCAGACATCAGAAACATTGACAGCGTCACCCTTTTCAAATCCAGACTCAAGACACATCTTTTCTAAACTGCCTATAAATTATGACTGATTTGATTGGTTTTATGTTTTTATGTTTTTACTCAACTGTTTTATTGTGTTTTATCCTGTAAAGTGACCTTGGGTGTCCAGAAAGCCGCTTTAAAATAAAATGTATTATTATTATTATTATTATTATTATTATGAACCTCCTGGAGAGCAAGAGGAGGAGCATCAGTTCAACTCTCAGCTCCTCGCCCTCGGGTCACCCTCAGGAGGAAACTCCATTGGGTCACCTACTTATTTTTCTGAGATACTGAAGGAGTGAGGTGATCTGCCTCCATGCTGATCCATATAGAAAGTAAACTACCGCAGAAACCATGTACAACATTTTGAAAGATCTCAGCTGATTGGCTCTGAGATCTCGGTGCTTTTGCTCTTGAATCCAAAGCGTGTTTTTGTGTTTTGCCCATAAGGCGCCGGCATGCTTATCATAACATCAGAAGGTGAGCACATCTGCTGCAGTTGGCTGGTGCCCTGAGCACATATTTAGCTGATAGGTTAAAAATGTTCAGAGAATCTGGGTCAGTGCTAACACGAAGCATGCAAACAACAGTTTTTAGGGCCCCACCCCCACAAGGCTACACAACAGGTGAGTTTGTCAGTATTAATTGTACAGTATGTACAGTCTATGGTATTAACAAGCACACACACACACACACACACACACACACACACACACACACACACACACACACACACACACACACACACACACACACACACACACACACACACACACACACACACACACGCACGCGCACACGTTCAGTACAGGTGCATCTGAATCAAAGAGACATACGTTAATGTCTAATCTTCCCTTTGAGGATGAGGATTCATGTGTTCACACAGAGTAAATAACCCTACAGCTGGTTGTTGATACAACCAAACACACTTACTGTAGAAGAATAAATACAAACATGTTATATTTGTGTTATTTTATCTCTAAAAACGCTGCAAATATATTTTAGACCAACTTCTTGTTTGCCATGCAGATAAATCCTCTCTGTCACTTTATTCTTTTGTTGTAATTTAGTTAAATGTGTCAAAATGCATTAGTGCCACATCCAAAGTGAAATAAAAACAACGTTCTCCTGCTGAGTTGGATCTGAGAAAAGCAAGAATAAAAGGTTTCAATCCTTTTCTCCACGTTTCTTCTATCTTTGCTCCTCGTCTCCTCATTATCTTCTGGACTTTCATCTTGAAGAGATGGAGAAACTCCAGCAGGTGTTTGTAGACCATCCAGATGTGATGTCTCCTCACAACAGTTATCCTCCTGAGAAGTGACATTTTGAGTGAGTTTTGAGAAGTGCATTTTTAATCTGCCACCAGCTGTTTCTAATCTGTAGGATCACATAAACGTGACATAAAAACATATTAAACTAATAAGAAGAGGAAAATTTATGCTAGAACTGAATTTATTTGCTACATGGATTTCCAAGGCCCCCTGGTTAATAATGTGTTGTAGCACGTTTGGTGTCAGGGGAAAACGAAGGTAAATTATAATTAAAAAATATATATTATTGATTTTATTTTGACCAGAGCTCATTAACCTCCAGAGGGGCACAAGCGCCCTCTAGTGGTGTGAAAACAGACCTTCAGAAAACGCGTCTAAGGTCAGATTTGTCTTAAAGATTTTTCCTTAAACAATAAAACATTTACCTTTGTGGATTTGGAGCAAATCCTGGAGAACTAAACTCTCCAACAGGCAGCAGAGCTTTGAATTGAACTTTTTTTTAACACGATTCATGAATCATATAATAAACGTTTCAAGAAGAACCTGACTTGTTTTTGCTGTTGAAGCAGCTTCTCCTCCTCGGCGGGCCTGTTTTTATTGTTCTCCATCTTTAATCATTAACTCAGACCTGCTCCGGAAGGCGAGCAGCACGTAGCTAAAGTCTGACTTTTGCCTCCATCAGATCTTTCCTGAACCGATGGCAGAACACCTCTCTGACTCTGTTTCCTCCGACGTGCGTCCGGAGCGCTGCGCCTTCGGAGCGCCTCTGCGCGTCTTTGCGCGCCGGGCAGCACTCCAGGAAGGCGGGGCCCGCTGACGTCTCAGAGTCGGCCAAACCTTCAGCCTAGCTGGAGGGAACGAGCGGAAATATTAGTGACACACCGGGGACTCGGGAAGTTCTGGGAGGATTACTGCGGAGGAATAAAGCCGGTTCCGGTACCGGTACCGGTGATGTCAGTTTCACTTAGTCTCACTTTTCTGCTGATTCTGCTCGTCCGGAGTTGCGACTCCAGAGACGCTCCACAGGTTGGTGACACACTTTAAAGCTTCTTACTCACCTGTTTATCAGCGTTTTATGGTTATTTTCATTTTTCTGTTTACAGACGTGATCGGAGGAGGACAGGTGCGGATCCGTTCCTCTGAGGACACGCGCTACTGGGTCACCTGGTGAGTTCCTCCTTTAGATGGAAATCAGAAGCAGCAGGTAGGTGCGCTGTGTGGAACTTTAGTTTCTTGTGAAAGTCAGACAGCTGCAGATGGTTCATCTACAGATCTACAGGTGTGATAAATAAATGAAGCAGACTTAAATTCACAAAACAAGATTATAAATAAGAAAACATCAAATTAGAAATAATGGCTGGAAAGACAACTATGTGGAGTCAAGAGAAGAACCTTAAACGTTTTGTTCTCAGCATAAATAATTTACCCTTGTATTAATTAGCTGTAAATGCACCTTAAACATGACCATCTGCACGTGCTAAAGACAGCAGGGTGGAGTCCAACAGCAGCTGAGAGTTCTCCGGAATTATTCCAGTTTATTTTTATTTATTTTTTTTACAAAGCTGGTAAATATGATTGATTCTGATTTTTAGGAACCGTAACTGATTCTTTTTTGCTTCAAACTTTTTGTTAACTTCAAATTGAAATGTGCCCAACAATTAAACATAAAGACAAGAAAAAGGAAAATAAAAGGAAAGTAAAAAGGTCTTAAAAATCAAAAATAAATTACATTTAATAACAAAAAGGGCTTTTATTTTATTTTATTAAATAATTATAGGTTAATGACTGCAACAAATGAAACCTTATTTACCTGCTTCTGTAGGTGGCCTGTTTCTGTGCTGCTGGCTTTAGAAGCAGGGCGACTAATGAAGCCACTTTTGATTTAGCTTGAATAATTATTACCAATGAGCAAACAGATAAAAGACGACCATCCTGTAGCTCTAAAGTTTAAAAGGTCAAATATAGAGGTCACTGGTCCATTTCTTAATATAATGATGTGAAACTCATTAGAAAATTACAGCAACCATAAGTTAATCTATGTCCTCATTTAATAAATGCTTATTGTTTTCTTTAGATTAATGGAGGAAATTTGGGGTTTGGTAGAAATTTGAGAGACTAGACGCTTTCCTTTATTGTAACTAAATGCTTTTGGGTGTTTGGACTCCTGAAGTTTGATCAGACCTCATAACCTTTGGCTCCTGTGCTTTTAGCCTCTTTAATTGGAAATCATGGTGGATGTAAGCCTTGCCTCCCCCACCTCACCGCTGCACAGCCTTGAGACTGTTCATGGTGTAATTATAATCTGGCTGCGGCTGTAAATACCAGATTCCTTTTGTCCTTGTGAATAACCGAGGCGTGGGGGAGTTGGAAGTATGCGTGCGTGTGTCGGGGAGGATGGAGGGAAGTCCTGCCGTTACCCGAAATAAGAATCCAGCAGTTCGGCACATCCCCTTCCGCTCTCCTCTCTGCCGTTCTCATTCAAAAGAATTCCACAAGCCGCCGCCGAAAACTTCTCAAGGCCACCATACTCCACGGTTCCTGACACACACACACCCACACGCACACCCACACACACGCACACACACACACACACACACACACACACACACACACACACACACACACACACACACACACACACACACACACACACACACACACACACACACACACACACACACACACACACACACACACACACACACACACACACACACACACACACACACACACACACACACTTCCAGTCCAGCCCGTGGATCATCCATCATCCCAGATATCTGAGAACAGAGTGTGACTAAAACATAGCAGCAGGGCCCTCCGTACTCCTGGTGTTTGCTCGCCGCGTTCAGGACCTTCGCTGCTTGTTTCCAGGCAGGTGAGGCAGCAGAGCGAGGAGGAGGTTGAGCCTCGGTGGCAGCACTACAGTTACTGTGGCTACAGGAACAAATATGCCTCTAATCTGATCAAGTAGAAATTCACACGCACCTGTTTAATGTTTATCAGGATGAGAATCAGAGGTTCCAGAACAACAAGAGTCTCCTGCAGTCTAATGGTAGGGGAGGTGTGTGTGCGTGTGTGTGTTTGGGGGTCTCTCTGGAGGAGGATCTTAATTTGAAGGGACATTTTAATTTTGAAACATATTTCTGTGATAAAGCTGTACATAATTGTCCGTGTTGCCTTGGCTCAGCATATGTCTGCTGTCTTTAACCACCTTCATCCTCTCACCTTTCTCAGTGATTGATCTAAAGTGTCTCATTTCCCGGAGCGCCTTTAGCCGTTTCTGTGGGTTGGATTATTTGATGGATGCTCCAGTCGGGTGCAGCTGCTGGTGAAGCGGTTTGGTCTCTATAGTGACAACATGGTTGGCTGTGCTTCGTATCGTCGTAACGACGACACATTTCCTCTTTACATGGTTGATTTCACACAGATGTTTTATTCACATGATGCTCTTTAACGAATCTGCCCCCAGATATGTGATGTCAGAGATTCTTACTGTCGTTGCCCAGTGAGCACCATCCTCCTGCCCCTCCATCAGCCATGCAGGAGAAAGCTTTGATAAAACATTGTTTGTTTGTGGCGGATCTTCGTTCGCCTGGATCTGATGCCGTTTATCTGAATTCATTTGATTGAACGTCTTATTGAAAACAGACAGAGTAGGAGTTTAAACATCCATGTTGATGTTTAATGTAAAAGCTCAAATGATGTCTGATTTGACTTACTTTTCCCCCAAAATGTAAAAAAATACAACGTTCTTCTTTATTGATCTGTTGACTTGTTTTTCATTTATTTCTACCAATGCAGTGATGTTGGTGTAGGTTCCCAGTCTTCTAGAGCATTATTCTCTGTAGAACTGGGAGTGGAAACAACCAAACTTTGCTGTAATCTGAGAAGCCTCATGTCTAGAAGACACTAGTCTATTTGTTTTTCTTGAAAACTCTCAAGAATGAAGCTAATATGCAGGTTTTTAGACATCTTATGTTTATGTTCATTTATTTGGCAGACGCTTTCATCCAAAGCGACGTACACATGTATTTAACTTGTAGGGCGTGTTGTGATCTGTGGGGGGAACCGAAGTACCCGGAGGAAACCCACGCATGCATGAGGAGAACTCCACGCAGAAAGGCCGCAGCCGGGTTTCGAACCTGCGACCTTCTTGCTGCGAGGCAACAGTGCTAACAACTGCGCCACTATGCAGCCCTTACTGCAAAGGACTCTTTTATTATCCTGAGAAGATCCCTATACTGATAAAATCCACAAGATATTTATAGGAAAATGCTTTAGCTAAATAAAGAGTCACTCGTTTGCTCCGTCGAAGAAAAACATGATCAGCCACAGGAAGATGACTCTTCCGTTCAGAGATTTATATATTAAGTCAGAAACAATATGAGACATGTAGTTCATCACCAGGCTGACTACTTTTCCAGGAGGTCTGTGGTCATTCCTGCGGGATCGCTTCAAACCGAACTGAGTTAGAACCGTGGGTCTGGGCCAGAGCTGTCTCCTGTTGCAGATGTGTGTAGCAGATTAGACTCAGCAACGAAACAACAGCTGAAATATTGGACACAGATTTTTTTGCATTACCTTGTCTTTCCAGGTTCCAGCTAGCGTGAGTGGTGTAACACAGTAGAGTTCGGGTTTGTCTTCGTTTATGAAGGCTTGTTTTGTTAAATGCTCTTTGTTTTGTGGGGGCTGAATGCCATCCATCCATTTTCCTTGGCTTACCCGAGGTCAGATGGGGCAGCCTAAGCAGAGTGGCACAGATGCTCCCCAGCTCCTCCAGAGAAATTCCAAGGCCTGGCCAGCTGAGGGAGTAGTCCCTCCAGTTTGTCCTGGGTCTACCTTTAGGTCTCCTCCCGGGTGGACGTGCCCGGAAAACCTCACTAGGGAGGCGTCCAGGAGGTATCCGAACCAGATGCCTGAAGCAACCTCAACTGCCTCCTCTCGATGCGTAGGACCAGCAGATCTACTCCGAGCCCCTCCCGGATGACCAAAGCCCTTTTATAAGACACACCATGCCGGCAAATCGGCGTAATATTACCGCAATGGTATGTCTATAAACGCGCCATGCCGGCATGGCGTTGTGCGAATTTTGCGGCATTCGTTCCGCCTCGCTTGGTAGTAATATTGTGGTATTGGTCTGTCGTATGCGCCCTGGCGCAACAGAAGCAGATGTCATGATGACGTGGGGAGTTATTGCTGAGCTCCGGCTGGCAAATGTATTGAAAATGAAAGTAAACACAGGCAATAAAGTTTGCTTTTTGAACAAAATCAGCTGAGATGGCAAACTGGAGCGCCACAGCGCTCCACGAGCCTCTCTGTTAGAGCTGAAGCTCAGATCACCAGAGACTGCACAGGGACTGATGGGGACAGACACCTTTAGGAGCTGCTTGTTAAAAAAAACTTAACGATCATGGCTTCAATCGCAATAAAAAGCAACATATGTCCAAGATAAATGGAAGTCTGCGGCAGAGCAGAGATCGCCCCCATACCCCCTTTGTGCTTGTATCTGTAATCTCATTCGTTCGGTCACTGCCCAAAGCTCGTGACTACAGGTGAGGGTAGCAACATAGATCGACTGGTAAATCAGTTTTCACCTCGAAAGATCGGTCCAACACCTGCATCAATGTAGACACAGCACCAATCTGCTTATCGGTCTTCTGCTCCATCCTTTCCTCATTCCTGAACAAGACCCTGAGATACTAAAGCTTCTCTAGGACCTCGTCCCTGACCTGGAGAAGGCACTTTACCCTTTTCCAACTCAAGATCATGGTCTCATATTTAGAGGAGCTGATTCTCATCAATTTAATTCAATTCAGTTTAATTATGTAGCGCCAAATCACGACAGGAGTCGCCTCTAGTAACAAAGTAAACATTCCACTACAGTTCAGTTCATTAAGTCAATCAGTAAAACATTTCCTTTATCATCCCAGCTGCTTCACACGCAGCTGCAAACCGCTCCAGTGTAAGTCGGAGATCACATTCTGATGAAGCCAACAGGACCACATCATCTGCAAAAAGCAAAGACTCAATCCACCAAAACGGATCCTCTCCACACCTTGGCTGCACCTAGAAATCCTGTCCATAAAGGTTATGAACATAATCGGTGACAAAGGACAGCCTTGGTGGAGTCCAACTCTCACCAGAAACGAGCTCGACTTACTGCC